GGGGTTTTTTTTTTGTTTTTCTTTTTAATTTTTTCATATGAAAAATGTAAAGTTACATATTACCCTTTAAAAATTGGTCAACAATTGGTCAGACATTTAATTATTGGTCATCTAACGGTCAAACTAATGGTTTTTGTCAATTTGGACACCAGGTGCGAATTGTTTAAAGGTTTGGTACCTTAAGTGGTACAAATGAAAGGTTTGGGCAAAGTCTGCAAAAATGTGAAACGTTTGGTATTGTGGGTGCAATTTTCCCTAAAATATATGGTGAAGAGGAGGAATTATGCTGCATGTAAAAGAAAAGAGTAAAAATTAATTAAAGGGGAAGAATAACATTGTCCTTGTGATTACATTTTTCCGAATTGTTATAAGTTGTCCAAGAGGTGGAAAATATTGGGAAATACCTGCATCCCAACATGAAGTACAAGGGAGTTGATGAGAGGAACGTTGTAACGGGTCCCAGCACGAGCGGCATCGCTTGGAGAAAGCAGAAGCTTTTGCTTCAACTCAGCAAGAAACGTAGACCCTTGTTGCCTAGTCTGTAGCATAAATTGGCACGAGAAATACTTGCACCATAAGCGCGGAAGAACTAAAGAAACTTCACTACTTTAAGAACCACCCCCACCCACCACACAGAACAGATGTGTGCATGCGCGCACAAGGGGGCGTATAATCCTTTATTTTACCCGTTTCCTCTAAATATATTGTTTCATTTTCCATTTAGGTTTACCTTTAGATACTCATCGACATCATTCTTCATCTGCTTGGCTTTAAGAGCAGCATCAACCTCAGCAAGAATACGTGGTGATTGACTTATCTCTGCCAGCAGATCAATCTAAATATGGAAACACAACATAATTTGTGTCAGTATTATATTTGATGGCCAAGTATATTGATAAGGAATCTAAGATTAGGTAGACACCTTTAAGTTGGGTGTAGAAGGATCTGGTAGCCTCATATTACGAGGAAATGCGCTGAGGATTATATTTCGCATCTGTATGCAGCTTGGGGGGATCACATCGCAGAAGCTGAAATGATAATCACATAGAAACTCTGGAAAATCATGGAGTAGCACCAACAACACCCTGAGTGTGCCTTTGTAAAGAAAGTGGACCTAAATGCCAACAAGAATAATTTATTGAAAAAAAAAAACACTGAAAGCATTATCATCTGCAGGCAATAATAATGATTAAATAAACGATGATCTCATTCAAAAAAAGAGGCGCACAGGTTCACCCAGTTCAGCATTCCTCAGAAATGGTTCCATGAACTGAAACAAGTCTACTAACAACCGCTGAAAATAGGGCCACCCCTTCTGT